ATAGTGCTGTACTGGTGAAAGAATAGACAAGTAGATCAATGGGACAGAACAGAGATCCCAGAAGTAGACCCAAACAACAGAGTCAACAGATCCAAAGATTAAAGAATACAAAATAGAGCAAAGACAAATCAATGGAGTAAGGATAATCTTTTTTAACAACTTGTAGTGGAACAACTAGGCATTAATTAAAAAAAAAAAAAAAGTAAAATCTAAATACAGACCTTATAGCTTTCACAAAAGTTACCTTAAAATGGATCACAGCCCTAGATGTAAGACACAATATTACAAAACCCCCAAAAGACAACAGGAGAAATTCTAGGTGATCCTGAGTTTTGTGATGACTTTTTAGATAAAAGACCAAAAAGCCTAATTATACAGAGAAAAAATTGATAATTTTGACTTGATTAAATTTAAAACTTCTGTTCTGAAAAAAAAAGAGAATGACTGTTCTGAAAAAAAAGAAGAGAAGCCATACTGAGAGAACATGCTTCTAAAATATATGTCTAATAAAGGAGGAACTCTGAACACTCAGTAATAGGAAAATAAATAACCCAACTGAAAAATGGTCACAAGATCTGAGCAGACACCTCACCAAAGAAGACACACAGTTGGTGAATAAGCATATAAAAAGATACTCAACATCATACTTCATTAGGGAATCTTAAATTTAAACAATAATGAGATTCCACTACACACCTTTTAGAATAACTACAATCCAGAACACTGACAATGCCAAATGCTGGTGTGAATAGGGAGCAACAGGAATGCTCATTCATTGCTGGTGGGAATAAAAATGACATAGTTACATTAGAGGACAATTTGGCAGCTTATTACAAAGCTAAATATACTCTTGCTCTACAATTCAGCAATCATGCTTCTTGGTATCTAACCAACTGATATGAGACGTATGTTTTCACTAAAACCTGCACATGAATGTTTATGGCAGTTTTGTTTGTAATTCCCAAAACCTGGAAGCAACCAAGATGTCCTTCAGTAGGTAAATGGATAAACAAACTGTGTTACATCCATATAATAGAATATTATTCAATAATAAAAGCAATGTCAACCAATGAGAAGATAAGAAGAAATTTTAAATGCATATTGCTAGGCGAAAGAAGCCAATCTGAAAAGTCTATACATTGTATGATTTCAACTGTATAGTATTCTGAAAAAGACAAAACTTGGAGACCATAAAAAGATCAGTGGTTGCCAAGAGCTTGGGGAAAGATAGAAAGGAATATGTATGAAATAATTTTTTTAGGGCAGTAAACTCAATATGATACTGTAACAATATGTACATTTCATTACATACTTATCAAAACCCATGGAATATACAAAAGGAATGAACCCTAATGTAAACCATGGACTTCAATAATAATGCATCAGTAACAGTTCCATCACTTGTAACACATGTACCACACTGATGAAAGATGTTTAGAGCAGGGGAAAGTCCTGTGAGATGGGTATATAGGAACTCTGTGCTTTTTACTCAATTTTTCTATAAACCTAAAATTTCTCTAAAATAGTCTATTAGTTTAAGAAAAGAATATGTACTAAGAAATGAATTTAAGAAAGCTGATATCACATTCAAGGGACGGCTAAAATGTGTGATGGATGGAAGGAGAGTAATGAATAATGAAACTGAAAAAGTAAGATACTGGGCCAGGCACAGTGGGTCACACCTGTAATCCTAGCACTTTGGGAGGCCAAGGCAGGTGGATCACAAGACAGGAGTTAGAGACCAGCCTGACAACCACAGTGAAACCCCATCTCTACTAAAAATACAAAAAATTAGCCAGGCGTGGTGGCACCTGCCTTGTAATCCCAGCTACTCAGGAGGCTGAGGCAGGAGAATCGCTTGAACCCAAGAGGCGGAGGTTTCAGTGAGCAGAGATCGTGCTGCTGCACTCCAGCCTGGGTGACAGAGCAAGACTTTGCCTCAAAAAAAAAAAATTCTGAAAAATTTCCTAGGGCATCTGAATTTTAAGATACACTAAGTTTTCTAGTTATGTGGTTAGATTTGTCCTTTAGGAAAATAATATTCTCATAAATAAGAAATGGAGTAAAAAGAGCTTAGAGGAAGTGAGACAAGGAAAGATACTATTGCACCAATCCAAATAGGAGGTGATAGTTTCAGGATTAAAGCTCAGAGTCCCAACACTATTTAATGACTTGAACTTCTTGAACTCGAGAAAAAAATGGACCATCTCCATGGCAGCCAGAGAGAAAAACACTGTCATAGGAGACTTAATAAAAGTTACAGCTATAGGTAACACGCAATGTCCTTCCCTTCAATAAATCATTAAAAGCAGAACTGGTTTTTTAATGATAATGGGCCATTCAGTTTGAAATCAGAGGAGTGAATTATACAGACATTTATAGATAATATTCTAGGTGGATAGGAAACTGATACATTTGGTGTTACCATTAGCTTGTCTCCCTAAAGTTCCTTTAGAAAATAACTGAATATATAAATCCCTGATTCTTCTCCCTGAAGCAAACCACGCAGAGTTGTCCATGTGGGAGTCAGCTCACTTTCACATCAATGACACAATTAAAAGTATCTGTCTGTCTGACCTTGCAACACTTCGCCTGAGGCTCAGTTTGGAATCTACTGCTTGTTTTGTCTGTCTACAGCATCTTGGTTGAAGAAAAACTTTCTCTTGACAGGCAATCATACAAGCTTATTGTACCAAAGTTTCAGCTACTCTGGAGGTTGATTGTATCTTTGAAGTGCCCCTCTCTCCAGCAGAATGTTCGCAGTAATTTTGTGAATGCCACGTATCCTATATGTGACTGCCAAATTCAGCTATTTTGGGGGGCTACATTAACAGATAAACAAGCAAACACACAGAAAGGTAGGTCTGTAAGTCTAGGTCAGAAGATTATAGCTGACAGAATTTTTGAGTGGTGGCAAGAAGAGAGAGGATAAGGATTTGAAAGTTTACATTGTAGCAACTGAGTAAAAAGTGATGTCATTGACCAAAATGAGGAGTACATTTGAGGGACAGGACAGTGGGTTTAATTTTGGACATACTCAGTTTAAAGCACCTGTGGAAACTTTAAGACAGAGAAGTTTAGTGAGCAGTAAGAAATGAGGGATAAGAAAAGCTAAAGAAAAAGGAAAACTGAAAATACTCAGAAGTTGTTGATATATAAATAGAGGCTTAATTGGAAGACATGGATGCAAGTGCCCAGGATATTGATGATGAGGAGAGGAAGAGGGTCTAGGTCTATATGAGGTTGGAAAGAAAACTGTAAGATATGGTAAGAAGCTACTGCTTTGATTAAAGTGAGAAAGGATGTGAAGAGATTAATATTAAAAGAAGAGGACGAGTGGGAGGAACACTGCAGGGTAGCGTCTCTAATGTAGTAATTAAGTGGATGTGCATGGGAGAGCAATCAAAATGATTTCAATGTTTTGATCTTAGGAAGCTTGAAGGAAAGTAGTACTACCTACGTTTCATTCATTCAGTCATTCAAAAAGAACACATAGGGCACCGTGTATGGGCCAGGCACTGACACTGACAGAAGTCAGGAGAATGAGCATGCTTTGTAAAGACAGTAATGAGTCTGGATTTACATTTATTAAGCTTGAGATGCTTGTGGGTCATCATGATGCAAATGTCTAGCAGGTAGAAGCAAAAAAGAAAAGTCAGGGGAAGAGACTGCTCCATAGAAATAAGACTTGAAGTCTCATTTGTGGATGAGATCACTAAGGGAGATAAGAATGGAATGTCTCTATTGTTACCCATGAACATATAGGTAATATCTGTGGATATTACCTGAGGGAGAGGAGGAGGAGAAGCAAATAACAAAGAAGGAGAAGGAATCAAGTGTACCAGTAAGAGATTTAGGAGAAGCATCAAAGAGGCCATGCAGATAAGATCTTTAAGAGGTGAGCAGGCTGTGCCTCACATCCCACAGGCTTGTCACAGCCAATGCGATCAGAGGGAAAAGTACTGAATCTAACTTGTCAAAGAGTGGGGATAGACACCCAATTACAAAGGACCACGGAAAGAGCTGGCGCTAAGAGTAGGGCCTGCAAGATGGCGTCATGGTTCATGCGAGGGATTTTTAAAATAATGAAACCTTGCAAGTGTCTGTAGCTCCAGGATAATGAAGCACAGTAGATAGGGAAAATGAAAATATGGGAGAAGAAGAAATAATTGATAGGAAAAATAGCCTAGAGGAAGCAAGACAGTAAGGGATCACAGGACTTGGGCAACAGCCGGGCAACATATGCCTTCACTGTGAGGTGAATTCTTATTATCCTCACTTGTAATGACTTCATAGAACTGAAGTTAAGGATTTCATGTAAAAGAGAAAGATCCCTGGGTATCATCTTTTCAGGTCGTTTATTCTTAGTTACACAATGTTCCGACAGAGAGGATGCGCTCTAATTCTCCAAAGAGAATTCTCTACCATACTAGCTCATACCCTCCTGTGCAAAACTGAACAGGAGTACTGAAAACAGCTACTGTATGTTATGTGGGATGATCGCCTTCTCCATGAATTAAATAGAAACTTGCAAAGAAAAAAGACAATTTCTAAGAAACTGTAAGTATGGGGGTGTGGTGGGGTGGAGGCAGGTGTATGCTGCTCTCTTCCTTTAAAACAAAAGAAAAAAAGAAGCAGCCCCCCGGAACTTGGGAAACAAGATGAAGATCAGGAAACCAAGACATTTGTCCCAGCGTCATCCTTTTCTACCTACTCATTCTCCATGTACTGTTTCTATTGTCAGCTGTGGCCTCAACAGCTTTGTGCTTGCACCGTAGTTCTCAAAACTGAACCCATTTCTTTTTCTCTCATTCCCAAAGTGGCTGATTTCTGGGCTTTGTTTGCTTGCTCTTGTTTCTTCATCACCGAGAAATATAAATATGGGAAAGCGCCTCACGGTGCCGAGAGTGACAAAAGGACATCCACACAAGTTTACCAGGACTCCTAGAAGTCCTTGCCTGAGTACTGTACCCTAGCAACTACCCTGAGCTCCACGAGCAAAGCCGGGAGCGCACGCCCTGACAGCACCGCCAAGCCCCCAGCTCGGAGCAACAGCCTCCACCGCCGCTCCTCGCTAAAGCCTGGAGAACACTAAGGACTCCCCACTGGGGCTGAGCCCCTCCCGCCCTCAGCAGAGCCTCTGAACACGAGTAGCCTTTCCCTGCCTCCAGGGGCTCACGAAACGCTGCCACGCCGAACGAATGCAACGCGTGCACACGTCCACACTCGAACAGCACAAGCAGGAGACCAGCTGGGTGTGGAACAGAGGCGCGCATCCCGCAACGCAAGCACAGCATGCACATGCTCACACCCCGACCCCGTCCCTCCACGCGCGCCCTGAACACCCCGGCGCCCAAGCTCCCCAGCCCGCGAACCTCACCAGACAGACAGCCGGGTAACTTTCCAGGTGCGCAGCTTGTCACCTCGGCGCGGCCGCCCCTGCGTCTCGGCGTCCTCTCCCACGCCGCCCTCCCCAGCCGCCGGCGGCGCCCGAGCCCCGCGCAGGTCAGCTCAGCCAGCCCCGCAGTGCGCACGGTGCACAGCGCGGGCCCGGGGCTGCCGGCGCAGCGGCTCCAGCTACGTGCGAGCCGGGGGCGCGGGCGAGCGCTATGCGGGCAGGAGCTGCGGCGGCGTCGGTACTGCCGCCTGTCTCCGCGGCGGGGGCCGGTGCAGAGGCGACACGCAGGGAGGGAGGGAAGAGAGGAGGGAAGGAGGAGGGAGGGGGTCAGCCGGGGCTACTGCGTGGAGAGTAGGCGCCGGCTTCCCTAAAGGTGGGGTCATCCGCGCCCGCACCCACACTGGCCCGAACCTTTACTCCCGACACCGCCGCAGTCTGCACTTTATACCCCATACCCTCCAGAGTGAGGCAACATTAGTAGGGCGATAACATCGTGGTTGTAGGCATTTTTTGTTTCGTGTTATTGTTTCTATTTCAAGTGTGTGGGACGAGTAAAGAGGAAAGTTCAGGGGTGTTCGTTTTTTCCTTCCCCTCCCTTTCCTCCATCCTTCCAGTCTGTGTTCACTGCAGGCTCTCTCCACTTCGGCTTCCCTCCCAGAGCTCAAACAGGCGCACGTACCCTGGACAAGCCCTCCTCTATCACACCAATGCCCTTCTACAAAGACATGTGACCCCGAAGCAGCTCGGCGACGCGCCCCTCCCGGACTCCAGGGCCATAACTTACATCTAGTTCACGTGATGCAGGGGGCAGGGGTTGAATCGAGTTTCGAACAGAAATTATACCTTCCGAATCTGCAGGTCTTTGGGTAGGGAGCTTCTTGAGCACCCAAGCAGATAATGCTCTCCCGTCGCCTTTTGAGTACATTTTTTTTTTCCTGAAGGGTGCATTATAATTTTCTAAATATATATGTACACCCCACCGCATTATTTGCTGTGCTCTGGAGTTGTGAGATCTCCGTGTGGCTTTTTCCCTTCCTCCTGCCCCCAGAGGAATTTCACTAGCAAATCCACTGAGGACAAGGGCAGTTTCTGTGTTGAGAGATGGAGAGTACAGTGAGGGTCTATTCCTCACTGTGCATCTAGATAATGTTAGAACCAACTCTCTTGGGTTTTTAAACCACATGGTGGCAGTGGGGCTCATGTAACATTTGTATACACTGTTACATACATAAACTTATATAAAAAATGAGGCCCGTGTGAAATATGTTGAATGAGGCCATTAAGTTTCAGAGGAGGAGGAATATAGTCCTGCTTGTTTTTGTGCTAACCGGAGGAAAATAAGCAAAAGTACACAAAGTACTGTTTCCTGAAGTTATCCCAGAATCTGTACGTTTTAGACAGACCGCAAAAGAAAAAAAAAATTAGAGGAGAAAGGAGTGAGGAAGAATTCCACAAGAAAAGAGAAAATCAGTCATTGTATGCCACTGTAATCATGGGCTTTTAAGTTGATAAGCTGAATTTTTATAAAGAATTTAACGACAAAAAGGAGAAAAACAATTTTTCAAAGTCCTTAAAGGAAACCTTTTTTAGATTCAGGGGTACAAGTGCAGTTGCATTACACAGGCATAACACATAGTGGTGAGATCTGGGCTTTTAGCATACCTATCATCCGAATAATGTGCACTGTACCGAATAAGTTGTATTTCCTACCTCACCCACCTCCCACCCTTCCACCTATTGGTGTCCCCAATGTCTATTATTCCATTCTGGGTATGTTCATGCCTACCCATTGTTTAGCTCCCACTAGTAAGAGATTGTGCAGTTTTTGACCTTGTTTCTGAGTCATTTCACTTAGGATAATAGCCTGTATTCCCATCCATGTTGTTGCAAAAGATATGATTTCATTCTTTTTGTGACTGGGTAGTATTCCATAGCGTGTACGTATGTGTATATATACACGCATATATATATACGTATGTATACATATATACATATATATAGCACCCCGAATCTGAAAATTTTTTTTAATTTTTCAGGTGATAACGTACACATTTTGTGTGTGTGTGTGTGTGTGTGTGTGTGTGTATACCACCATAGTATGTATATTACCACATTTATAAATCCAATCACCCCTTAATGGACAAGGAGGTTGACTCCATGACTTTGCTATTGTGAATAGTGCTGCAAAGTCCTTACGTCTCATTTAGTCCCGGGCTTTTTTCAACAATGGGTTGCTAATTAATGGATCATAAAATTGAGGTATTGGGTCAAAGCCAGCATTTTTAAAATGATACAGAATAGAATAAAAAATAGCAGAGTCTATGTGCACATTGGGTCAACTGGGTCATACGTACTTTCTTACTGTTCATTGAAGCAAAAGCTTGAAAACTGGGAATGCAATGCAGGCTGCTGCACAGGGTCACACAGCTAGGAAGAGTTTGAGGAGAAACTGAAGTTCCCTCCTAGCAATACTGTGCTCTGTCAACTCTACCATGCTCAGCAAGGAAAAGGAGGAAGAGAAAGAAAGTGGCCACTTTTCAAGCCTTTTACTCAGACTTTCAACAAATGTGCTTTCAGCAGCTGCTGCATATTAGGCCCAGTGCTAAATGCTGGGAATTCAATGGTGAACAAAATTAACTTGTGATCTCCCAACTTAAGAATGTACAATCCAGTGAGAGAAACAGACATTAAACAAGTAAACACAAAAGTAAGCATGTATGGGAGAAATACTGTGAAGGAAAATGAGAGAAAAAAATATGGGGTTATAATTTAGATGTGAGAGGCTGCAATTAATAATTAACCTAATTTGGAATGTCTTAAATGATAAGGAAACTTACTGTTTCACAAGGCAAGAAGTCCCAAGGTCAGGAGGCTCTAATTGGTGAATTCAGGGAGACAGTTGTGTCCAGGAAGGCCCTGAGCTGTTCCCGTTATTCCTCCTGCTAATCCCCAGTGTGGCAGCTTTGTCCTGGGGACTGTACCACCCATGGCCTTAGGATGACTGGAACAGCTCATAATTATGGGCAATCCGAACAGTGCCCAAAGGTCACAGAGAGTCTCCTTGGAGTCAGAAAATCATTCTTGGAAGCTTCTAGGAGACTTTTCACCTGCATTAGTCCAAACTGAGCATATTCTTACCCCAAGATGCTGGAGGTGGAGTGGGGAATCACCATTCCCGGGCTCTTAGGCACTACAAGATTGGTTCCTAGCTTTTCCAGATAGCATTCTTTGAGAAGTGCGTACTCGAATGAAAAGGAGAGGATGACAATGGATGCTGGATAGGCAATCTAGAGTCCGCTACAGGGACTCAGGGATAATGTCTCTTGGAAAAAAAGTGGGGGACATTTCACTTAAGGTGAGTAAGAGTGAGACAGGGAGTGGGGAGGAAGCACTTTCAGGTGGGATCCTGACCTGTGGTGTCAGACTCTGTGTCATGTGTTAAAGGCTTCCATGTAATTTCTCATTTATTCTATTGACCTGTGGAGGTAAGCGTACCCTAGGAAGGAAGCTCAGAGGGTTAAATAACTTTGATCTAATTCACAGAGCTAATAAGTTGCAGAGCCAATTTTTGTAACTCCAGACCCTAAAATCTTGACTTCTACCTGTACAAAGACAACGAGAAATCAAAATCCACTGGCCTTTCTCTGCCATTGACTGAGGAACACAGCCCCCTCAGAGCCCCATCTGCAATGTTAAATTGAGCATACAGGTAATGTGGGACATGTTCATGACTAATCCTCCTCCCGCTGGGTAAGCCTCTGCTCCACTAGGTGTCCTGGTCTCTGCTAAGCCCTGTCACCGAAGCACTAGCATTCTCATGATGTCAAAGTTCCGAGGTAGCCTATGGAGATGGGGACAATGAAAGGCCTGTCTTTCCTTGTTTTATACGCAGCTAAGTCCCCAAGCAGCCCTAGTGTTTTACAGAAATCTCCTGGTTTTGCCTACCTTCTGTTTCTTGGGGGGACCTGCATCCAAGAGGCTGGACTAGGAAGTGATCCGGTAATTTTCCCTACTGAATTCAGACTCACAAGCCCCTGGATGACTAAATTCTGGTTCAGGATCATCCATGTCAATCTTATTTTCTTGGGATAAATTTCCACACAGGAGGCTCTGTAGTTGCCTTCGTGCCCAGACTCCTGTCAGGGCACCTCATCAGATCAGCCTTGTGCTCATAACCTTTAAACTGCAGCTTGGAGCCCTCCAACGCCCAAATGAGGTTCCTTCTATGTATCAGCAGAAAATCTCCTGGGGACATAAGAGGGACAAAACTGCCATGCTGGCGATTCACACTCCATTTTCTTGCCACTTCTTTGGTTTTGTTTCCTTCCCTTCTTTATTCTTTCATTTATCTTCAGGCTTGCTTACGGTACCACAGTGACTTCGTCAGCAGCCATTTCAGTTGCTAAGGCTAGAACCTCAGGTCATAATGCCCTTCTTTCGGATTGGTTTTGCCAAACCCTAACCCAGAAAAAAAAAAAAATCCTATTTGTCTTTGATGCTTTTGCTCTCCAGGTTTCAGCATCATTCAATATGGTTATAAAACTGGGCCAATTGATTCCACCCCGATTTTCATGTTTTCTAAGCTCCCTGCAGCCCACAATCCTTTTATTTACCTCAATGACATTTATCTCTTCCATGAAGTCTTCCTGACCATGCAGGATAGTGCTTCTCTCCCAATACCCCACAGCAACATGGTGCTGCTCCAAGTTAAAAATCCTTGTTGACTTGTCAATCTCCCTCATTAGACTTCAGAGCAGGGACTTTGTTGTATCCATGGTTATATCTCCAGAACATACTCAGCTCAAGACTCTTCATTATTTAAAAAGCAATTTAAAATTTTCACTCTTTATTCTACTATCTTCTTAAAAAAAAAAAAAACTGTCTATCAAGATACTAGAGACTTTCAAGTGATGACTCTACTTACTTTGTGGGAGCTCATCAATAGTGTCATACAATCATCCAGGCCTAGCATTGGAAGCATCACTCTTCTTTCCACTCCTTTTTCCAATAGGACAGTGACCTATCATTTACCAGTGCCTTCCCAATTGGGTTGAGAATGTTATGGGCATTAGCTTGTGGCACATCTGGGCCATTTCCAAGCTCCTCCAAGCAGCAGCCAAGCCTTCATGTGATCCCAATCTAGAATTGACCTGTCTCTTGCACATCCTCTCTGTGAATGTCCCCCCTCATCTATTCCCACTCCCACCCAGTCCAAATTTTCCCAGGATTCTGATTCTGACCTTAGCTTCTTTTTTCTCTCCTTCTCTGTCTCTCTCTCTCTCTCTCTCTCTCTCTCTCTGTGTGTGTGTGTGTGTGCGTGTGTGTGTGTGTGTGTGTCTCATCTCATAGCTTCACTGATTATTTCTAGGTATCCACCCTTTCCAGAAATTGCTTGCACTGTACTTTGTCTCAGCCCTTCTTATGGTATTTATCACTTTCTACCTTGTATTATTGATGTCTAACTACATTTATCTCTTCTAGGAACTGTAAACACCTGGAGGGCATGGTTCACATTTGATTATCTTTGCTGTGTCTCTGTCAGTACCACACACAGGAGGTCCAATTCTAGAGTTGATAGAAAGCCATGATTTGTTATCCAGAAGAATTTTGCTTATGCTTCTGAAGTTCTATAGAAAGAATTTGAAGCATGTTCTTGATTTTCCTTCTGGAATAAAGACAATTGTTTAGAATAATGATATAAATTAGAAATTAATAGTCTGCTTAATTAACAATCAGGTAATTGTAAATTTTACTTTAAAAGTACAAAATATAAATAAATTTGGTTTTCTGGTTTTATCTATACATAATAAGTTTCAGCCCAGGGTGCATTTACTTTCCTAAATAGTGATTTCTTTCTAGGTATAGATAGTCATTAAATAATATAGCTAGCGTACACTAACTATGCACTAGGTTCACAGGATTTAGCATCCCTCCATCTTGTGCTATTTTAGAGTCAACCCAGACTACCCATTCAACGCTTTAACCTCTCAGCTCCTTAGTCTTCCCATATCTAATAGCTCCATCTCAGCTTTGGCCATCACTCCCATAGTCACACCTGGAATTCTCTTTAAAATCAACAATTCTGCTAATGCATATGCACCCCAGATCCACATGGCCCTGCCTGCCTCCAGGGCTTCAGTCCTCTGCCTTGCTTCTCAGCCAGAATGGCCCAAGCAATGGCTGGTGTTGTCCCCATGGTTGTAAGGCCCAGTCTGATGCTGTCACTGACCTCGGCCTCCCTTGGATCCAGGGCCAGACCAGCATGACCTTCATAACACCCACTGTAGAGGGAACATCAGCAGCTCCAGGCCCCTGGGCTGACCTGACTGAACCCACATAAGCTCTGGCTTCCCTCATTGCTGCCTGGAGAGGCCCAAAACACAACCCAGAAATACAGTGGAGTTAATGCCCTGTGGAGCCGACTTTGACCACTGAGAGACAGGAGCCAGTAAGAGGACAACAAATCAATTGTTCACCCTTCCTGCCCACCCAGAAGCTGTTTAAAGATGCAATGGTTCTGTATTTCTGGCTGCTCTGACATGACTCAGCAACCAGCTTTGTTTTCTAGAGAAGCTGTAGACAAATTGGTAATGCACAACTTGGAATCTACTTTTTCTCCTTCTCTCTTTTATTTCTGTTTTTTTTTCTGCTCATTCTTGCTTCCCTGGGATAATATTCTAAATAGATTGTCACATATGAACTTTACCTTAGGTTCTATTTTCTAGAGAAATCAGACTAAAATAAGACAATGTACTCTTTGACAACAACTTTCCATTCTTCAAGCTTAATTGCTCAATTACATTCTCTTCATGTGTTTCTGGTCCATAGTGACCTCTAGTTCCTTTATCCTCTATTTACTTCCTCGCTGTTTTTACTGTCCACCTTACAGTTTCGTATGGAATGCATTATCTCACACTACTGGTACCTTGCCCCAGACTTATGTCTTACGATAGCCAGGAGAAGCCCCCATTATGAAGGAATTCCACTTCTTCTTGTACTTAAACAATAAGCACTTGTGAAACAAGGTAGAGATAGGTCCTGTTCTGATAAACTTAAATTCTGGGTCAACAGTAGGAGATTTGACTGGTAACGCTGTTCTAGAGAACCATCTGGCAGGATTTACTCAGATTAAGAATATGTACAGCCCATTGGCAATTCCACTTCTGAGTATATTATATATCCTAGAGGAATTCCCATATGAGTCCATAAGGGAACATTTACTGGGATGTTTACTACCACTCCCTTTTTATTGTTATGATTAAAGGCTAGAGGGCACCTGGTATGCATCTCTGGGAGGGTGAATAGGTTAAGTTCCTATGGCTATATGCCATAGAATATTAAATAATATTTAGAAACAACAAGTTAGATGTTCACAAAAGCAAAATGACATACCTTAAAAATAACAGTATCTAGTAGAAAACAGAAGTACAATGAGATATATATATATATATATAACACAATATCCTTTGCATAAATTAAGAGTAATATACACAAAATACATTATTCATTTTGCATAAACACATACAAATAAAAAGATACCCAAAAAGCACATTAAACTGTTAGTGAATCGAGTATTTGAATAAAAGAAATGACAGGGGAGAAAAGGAAAAAGTAGAAAAGTAAATGGAGAGCTACTTCTGAGAAGTGATCTTCCGAAGACGTCTTTAAGAGGGAGCATTTGAGTGAAACCCAAATGATGAAGCAAAGCCTACCACAGGATGATCTAGGGAGGAGTATGTCAGGCAGAGAAGAGCAAGTGCAATGGCCAACAGGCCAGTATTAGTCCTGTTGGACTAATAAAGAACTTCCTTGAGACTGGGTAATTTATAAATAAAAGAGGTTTAATTGACTCACAGTTCCACATGGCTAGGGAGGCCTCAGGAAACTTATAATCATGGCAGAAGGTGAAGGGGAAACAGACTTGGACCTTTTCACATGGTGGCAGGAGAGAGATTGGGAGGAGCAAAGCAGGAAAATCCCCTTATAAAATTATTGAGTCTCATGGGAACTCATTCACTGTCATGAAAAAAGCATAAAGGAAATCACCCTCGTGATCCAATCACCTCCAACTAGGTTTCTCCCTAGACAAGTGGGAATTACCGGGATTATAATTCAAGATGAGATTTGGGTGGGATCACAGCCAAACTATCTCAAGGCCAAAAGACCTTGGAGTTTCAGGGATAGAAAGAAAGCTATTGTGGCTGGAACCTAAGAACATGGAGGACTGTGATACAGCGTAGATCAGAGAGGATAGAGTGGGGCCAAATGACATAGAGCCCTGTAGGCAATGGTAAGGAGTTTGGGTTTTACACCACTCTGAATTCTTGATATCAATCTCCTCTGGGTACTGAATACTCCCTGGTAATCTTGTTGAATTTACATGGTCAGCTATATTTCTCTCTACTACAATGAAAGTGGTAAACCTTTTTCCTCTTTCTTCAAACCTTTATCTAGCCATTCTTACTCATGATCATTGGTCTCACTGACTCTTCACAGAAAATAATTGCTATGGATTGAATTGTGTTCCTCCTAAAATTCATATGTTGAAATCCCAACTCCCTGTACCTCAGAATGTGACCTTTTTTTGATATAGGATTATTACAGATGTAATTAATTAAGATGAGGACATTACAGAGGACATTAATCTGATATGATTTGTGTCTTTATTGAAAAGGAGAAATGTGGACACAGAGACAGAGAGGCAAAGTGGAAGGATAATGTGAAGACAGCCGTCGGCAAGCTGAGGAGAAATGTTTGGAACAAATTCTTTCCAAATGCCCTCAGAAGGAACCAATGCTGTCATCACTTTGATTGTGGACATCTAGTCTCTAGAATTGGGAAACAATAGAATTTGTCATTAAAACGCTTGGTTTATGGCACTTTGTTACAGCAGCCCTAAAAACTCATACAATAACAATAGTATATGTTGACCCCTTTCAATGCTTGTGAGCACTGCACATGACATGCATTAATGCAGTTAATCCCCAGGAAGATCCTATGATATATCATTATTATAGCCATTTATTAAATAAGAAAACTGAGGCACAGAGCGATTAAGTACAACTCATCAATAAGAACTACCTCAGTGTCCCTACGCGAAATCTAGAAACTTGTCTGCACCAAGATGTAGCCTTTCTTCCCTCGTTTGCCCTTAGGATGATGTGTCCATTACTCTCTCCAACCTTAGTGCTTCTACCTGTGCTCTTGATCACCTGCCTGTCCTTAAGGAACTTTGCTTCCTTAAGTTTCTCCCACATGAAGCAAGAGCTTCTTCCGTTACGTCTTATAATATCGTATACTGCTCCTTCACAAATTTTCCAACATCCATACTCACTGTCTTCATTTCCTCTGTCATTCTTTTGACCTATCAGTATAGGTATGTTTCCTAATGCTGCTATAAAAATTATCACAAATTTAGTGGCTTAAAGCAACACAAGTTTATTTTCTTACAGTTCATAGAGTCAGACTCTGAAATGGGTCTCACTGAGCTAAAATCAAGATGGTATCAGAGGCCGGGCGTGGTGGCTTACACCTGTCATCACAACACTTTGGAAGGCTGAGGTGGGTGGATCACTTGAGGTCAGGAGTTCAAGACCAGCCTGGCCAACATGTTGAAACCCCATCTCTACCAAAAATACAAAATGAGCCAGGCATGGTGGTGGGTGCCTGTAATCCCAGCTATTCAGCAGGCTGAGATGAGAGAATAGCCTGAACCCAGGAGGTGGAGGTTACAGTGAAGCCAAATCGCACTACTGCACTCCGGCCTGGGTGACAGAGCAAGACTCTTTTTCAAAATAATAATGATAATAATAATAATATCAGGACTGTTTTCCTTCTAGGGACTCTAGGGAAGAATCCATTGCCTTGCTTTTTCCAACTTTTAGATGCTGTCCACATTCTTTAGCTTGTGTCCCCTTCCTCCATCTTCAAAGCCAACAGCTTGGCATTTTCGAAGCTCTTTGACTCTGTCTGTCCTGCCTCCCTCTTTCACACCAAAAAACTGCTGTGATTACATTTGACACACCCAGATAATCCAGTATGGTCTCCCCATTTCAAAATCCTTAATCACATCTGCAGAGTTCTGTGCTGTGTAAAGTCATATCTTCCTAGGTTCTGAGGATTAGGACATGGGCAACTTAGGGGAGCTATTATTTTGTCTACCAGACTCAGTGATTTGGCTTCCAAAACATTCTACCAAAAGCATTTTCCCTAAGATGACTAATGGCCTCCATCTTTCTAGTTTCATGAGAAATGTCTGTCTTACTTGGCCACTCAGCATCATTGAGTGCAGTTACCTCACTTCTCATAGGGGTAGTTGCAGTGACCACATAATCTCCAGTTTCTCTTCTTCACTGGCTGCACCTTTTCAAGGCTCCCTTGCAAACGACTTTGCCTTGAGCCATAATTGTTAAAAATCCTTGCGGTGTTGAACAAGGTTGTGTTTCCTTTCTGTGGGCAGCCATCCTCTTCAAAGTAGTACCCTTTTTCAGTTGCTATAAAGAAAGGGAAGCCTAGAAACATCCTTGTTTCAATTACCATCTGTATTCATGATTCTCTAATCTGTAGTTCCATTTCTGAGTTCTGTGATCAAATACAGATTATTTGGCTGCCTTTTCGATATTTCCATTCTAGAATTAAAATGCCTGCTCCCTCAATATCAACATGTCTAAAAGCAAAGGAATATCTTTTCCCTAAGGACTAATTCTTTATCCAGTGTCTTATACAAATAAGTCATCCTCTAATTAGATTTTTTAATTTTAAATTTAGAAAGTTGTCTTTGTATTCTTTTCTCCCTCACCCACCATAAATAATCTATCACAAAGCCCTGGAAATTCTGCCCACATATATCTATAATATTCCTAAGAGTCTCTTCAATGTCACCATCAGCGGCATTTCTTGCTGGGGTGCCAGGAGAGCCTCTTCACCATCTCTCTGTAGCCACTTCTATGCTCACTCCAGCACTGCTGTTAAATTGATCTTTTTAGAATCCAAAGCTGCGTTTGTTACTTCCCTGCTGCAAGTTCCTTAATCTACCAGACATAGCCACAGTGCTTAGGGCTATAGGTTATCAATAACCTGTAGAATTGTATGGGGCTCCCATGCTATGAAAAAGAACATTATAAAATTGGAATTATAAAATGTTTAATTATATACAAAACAATATTATGCCAACTAGCAATTCAGGTGTGTGTATGATTTTTATGTATACATATAGATGTGTGTGTGTGTGGTGTGTGTGTGTGTGTGTGTGTGTGTGTGTGTGTGTATACACACTGTTTCCCCAGTGCTAGAACCTGATGGTGTCTTTGGTGGTATCACTGCTTTTATCAAGCAGTTTTATAATTATATGTTCATTTGCTTTTTTTAGAATTGAACTGTAATCCCCAGTGCAGCCAAGATAATGTCTTCTTCATGGTAATCACTTAAGATCAATGAATAAAAGAATGATGTTAAAAACCTACTCAAGTATAACTTCCAGCCAGAATGCAATATAGCTCTGGAATGCTGGGAAATAATTCCATCTGACAGTACAACCTCACACAGAGTAGCCAGAGAGAAGTTAGCCATTTTGGCATGTGGATGCCATGTGTCCCAACAAATAGAAATAGCACATAGCAACAGGTCTATAAATGGCAGCCCTATCTATAATTGTTTTCAAGAAATCCATGCCTACCTAGCAACAACTAGGGTAGCATAAGCTGCTTTTTTACTAGTAGCTAATTTTTGCTGCTTGGTTTTGGTTTGTGTTATTTGTTGTTCACATTGTTATTATATACTAATTTATATTCAACACCTTTACCTTCAAAGTAATGAAAGATAAATGAAAATAACTTAGGTGTTCTTTTTTTCACTAGGCTTTTTTTTTTTTATATTCAAGTACTATAACATGAAGATATGGCCTATTATCTGTCCATCCTGGCATTTAAATAGAAGAAACCTGGCTTGAACTATGTTAGGTTTATCTTTTCACATCACCTTTCAAGAGGAACTAAATCTATTAGGACCTCATTGGAGATGCAGTCACATTTCCTGAACCCAGACTGTCCATAATTGATCCTTCCTCCCAGAAAGTCCTCCAGATATCAAACGTTTTATTTAATTAGTTAGCAAGAATATTTCCTTGAAATAAAGGTAGTTGAGAATACTATTTAGATTCAGCCTTTCATTGGGTCAAATTGTTTTTCAGATTTTGTTTGGTCTGTGTAAACAGTGTACAACTACGTGAGCTCATTTGATGCCATGCCATAACACCAAGCAGAACCATCTGCTCAAAGACAGCAAATAATAAATCATCTCTGGACCAGTAACTAGCCAGCATGTCGCATGAGGAAGTCTCTGACGCAACTACATAGTCTTCTATCTTAGCATATTGTCACATGCCTCTATTTATTTCCATTTTATGATCTTGCCAATGGGAGTAACTATAGATTAGTCTGAGCTACATGAGGTTCTCCTTTTTTCTATTTTATTTGTTATTGACTTCTCAATTTACACATCTCACTTCCCTTAGAAGATCCTAATTGGGAATAATCTACCAATTTAGTTGTCCAATGTGGTGCATTTAAAACAGGTTCCCATGCTAATGAAGCATAATGAAAATTTCATGCATAGTTTGTCCTGCTCTTTAATTACTTCATTTTATAAAAGGCAAGGTCCAATGACTATTTATCAGAGGCCAATCACAGGCTACACACCAGCTTCTAGGCTGGTTATTTACAAACATTCACAAAGTGTACATAACACATAATGGGGCATCAATAAACATTTATTAAATGAATATATGCATGTGCTAGGCTACTTAGCTATAAGACCAGAGGTAAATGTCTTAATTTTTTGGCAATTTAATAAAAGTGAAAATGTTTTTGGATCAATTTTTAATTATAGATTCTTATTAGAAATTCTGTAGCTGTGATTAAAGGTTACTTTATTTTTCCCCATTACTGAATGGCTACTTTATTGAGAGAACATTTCAGAAACTACATAATTAGCACAACTGCCAGTAGCTTATCATAATGACTTGCCCTTGAGCAGATTTTGTGAAGGAGCTGAGGGACCATGGTGCTGGGAGACAAACACTTTGAGGGATTTGTGTCAGGAAGAATGCACGCTAGATTTTGGCCTTAGGCCAGAGATTAAATATTCAGTTCTAGGCTGGGTGTGGTGGCTTACATCTATAATGCCAGAACTTTGGGAGGCTGAGATGGGAGGATTGCTTGAGCCCAGGCGTTTGAGACCAGCCTAAGCAACATAGCGAGAACTTGTCTCTACAAAAATATTTAAAATTAGCCAGGCATGGTGGCAACCACTTGTAGTCCCAGCTACTCAGGAGGCTGAGGTGGGAAGATCACTTGAGCCCAGAAAATCGAGACTGCAGGGAGCTGGTATTGTGCCACTGCATTACAGCTGGGGTGACAGAGTGAGATCCCATCTCAAAAATAAATAAATAAATAAGTGTACATTCAATTCTAGTTGCAGACTTCTGGGAAAAAAGTAGAGTCACTCTTATAGAAAGACTAAGTTAAGAGCAATAAAGCAGATAAAAAGATGGACATCCTAAACTATGTAAATGATTCACCTTCTGCCTTTTATGTCCACTCTGCACAGCAGCAAGAACGAAACATTCTCTAGGCAATAGTTTCTGAAAGGACAGTGTGTTTTGAAACTTCTTATGAGTCCATATTTATCTAATTTAATGGTTCTCAGATTTTTGGTCTCAGAAGAGTTTTATAGTCATAAAATTATTGAGGACCTCAACATACTTTTGTTTATGTGGGTTATATCTATCAATATTTATCATTTTCTAAATTAAAACTGAGAAGTTTTTATAAACATTTACTCATTCTAAAATAGCTATTATAAGAC